TGGACGGCGCGCCCTTCCGGGCAGCTTTGGTAGCCAGCTGCTTACGGGGGGCTTTGCCACCGGTGGATTTACGGGCGGTCTGCTTGGTCCTGGCCATTCTAACCAAAACGAAACGTTATTAGTTCTGGGAGAAAACGGAGAAAAAGAAACCGTTGTTCTGGCACTAACTATATTTATAGGCAAACTCTCCTTTTTGATTGGCTGCTGGGAACGAGCTATCTCTCGTTGGGTGATTTGAAAATTTGAAAAGCCCGCTCTGTCATATTGAAATACCGCCCTTCCCGCCACACCACTATCATAGAGCTTACGGCTTTTCCGAATGTAGCGGCACCACAGCTCATTTCCCTGAAATTTACGAATCTCGGACCGCCCAGCACCGAACATTTCTGCGGTTTCCTCTCTCCGAAACTTCATCAAGATACAGACTCCACCTTTCCTTCGCTACCACCTCAGCTTCTTGTTCTTGTATATCGGCGGCTCCATGTCTCACTACTTCTTTCAAAATGGCCAGTTTATGAATGTCATTCCCGCTCCTTATTTCTCTGACAGCCGAACACCCACCTCTGGAGGCAGGGAAGGGTAATAGCTAAATCACAGAATGTATCGAAAATCTCCCCGTTCTCATTGAGTTTCATGTTTCAGTTTGTGGTTATTTGGAGGGTTGGATGATCCTTTAATTCCCTAACCCCGCTTTCAGACTGAGAACACTCCTCCCTTTAGTCTCCTTTCGTCCTGCCTGAAACCTTAAACACGCCAGACCAAAGGAATTCTTAAACAGTAATCACTTGCGTTGCAATACTTGCCCAGTAAAAGGATAAAATTTCTATTTTACGGCCTAATCTATTTCTGTTCACAATAATCTACTTGGTGTAATAAGTGACCGTAATGAGTGGAAAACTAGGACACAAATCATTAGACATTAGGACACAACCTTTTCTTCCCCCCGGGGAACATAATTTTATACCGAAGTACTGAAACTCCCACCTCCACCCCCCGACCCGAAGGGGTAGAGACTGTCTAAGTAGTTATGAATAGTCTTTAGGAGGAAATACAGGGGAGGGTTATCACTAACTCATCTGTTAACAGAGTGGACTTTTTAAACTAATCAATGTGTCAAATCACGGCCCCACTAGCTAGATAGAAAAGGTATTTTGGTCTCTAACTCATCCGCAGTTTCGCCATTTCCCCCCGGCTTTCCAGGCGGAAGCTACTGCTAGGAATAGTTTTAACTAAGCTTTCTACCCTGGACGGGAAAGTCCTCGGTTATCCCTTCCTAGGAGATATAGCTTGCTATGCCTCGGCTGCTGCCCAAACAGAGTAGCTCTGAGAGCACCAAGGCTGTGAACAGATTGCTGGTAAAGAGTAAGAAATTGGGAATTATGCCATTCGCCTACAGTTCCCCGGCTCCAGTTTAGATAGACTATATTTCTGCAATGAATCATCACTCGAGGCTGAGATCCATGGGAGACGACCTGATTGAAAACTGTCAAGAAAAACAAGGGCGGGGTCTATTCTCCGTTCTCCTCCTCCACTAGTCTCGGTTTTCATGATGCTTGAGTTAGAAGAAAAGTAGCGGGTTATTAGCCCGGCCCTTTCGCTCGCCATTGTCTGAGAATTGCTCCATTTAGACTCCGCAATATATAGATATATATCATCATTTTTCAGGCTTTGGCAGATTATCAAATCCTACCTCTACTAATTATTAATTCAACGGAATCCCTGATTTTCTGGCAATACCTGGCGTCTGCGTCTCTGTGACTTGTTTAAAATAAGATCAGCTGTCAAATGGCATTTTTCATTTGCCATTACCGTATTTTGCCTCCTGGAGGACCTTCTGGTAAAACTGCTTCACTTTTGTGCCTATTTTGGTTTCAAACTGCTCCTTTGATTTTTATGGATTTGCAGTCTGCGGTAAAATCTGACCAATCAGGTTTCGTGACACATCAACCTCTCTCCTGCTCCCCAGCATTCGCCGCCATTATCTCAAGTGTGCGAAAAGAAAAGTAATGTGATGAGTGCAAATGTACTGTATTTCATCCAAATATAGAGCAGGACCTTCTTGTATCATCGGATACTGTATTATTTTCTTTCGTTCATTACGTTCGTTCATTGGGAGGTATGTTCCTTTTCCATTCCCGTTGCAGTACCATACTGTTAAGTAGTCGACTAGTGATTTGAATGGCTGTACAAATCATCAAGCAGAACATCAGAGTAATTTTCCACGTCAGGAAAAGGAACTCATTCATATAACTAATAAGTAGAAAGAATTATTTTATGTGGGAAACGCTTTGAAATTGCTTAAAGAAAACGGGAAACAATACTTATAATTTGATATACACACGTGACAGTAAAAAAGTCAATACATCTTAATGCTAACCATGCTCTACTATAACACAATTTAACTATGAGTCCGCAGATCTTTAGAAAGCATGGATTAAAATGATCACTAAGGGTCCCAGGACACTGATGAAAATAAAATGCGTCATCCTTTCTCATTTATTATCCTCTACTGCCATCTAACGGACACTCCTTTTCAAGCTGCAGAATTTTAAAATACTGTAACATTGCAGTATTTACTATTAACATAAAAAAACATACAAACCAATAGTAATACAATAATAAATATCCTTCGTTCATCTTGGTAACTCTTACATTAAGATTTCTTGTATTTTGAATAACAGATTATTTTTCCCCAACAGGGAGCAAAAACTAGAACTTTCCCATAGAAACTCAGCTTTTCCCATAATACAAAGTAATGGACAGATAGCAAGTGATAGACCCAGCTGTAAATATGTCTAAAATGTGACATGTCTATTAACATAATAAATGAGAACAGTATGTTACACACTGCCAAAATACAGTCTTGATATAACATTTGAACTGAACAAGGGAGAAAAAAATCTATTGAAAATATTTTTATTTGCTACACACTCTTCAGACCTTCCTCTGAACACAGAATTATTCATTTCTCAAAGGCTTTCATCACCAAAAAGTATCCTAATGCTCCCCAAATATTAATTAATCTTCGAGAATTCCCCATGAGTTGAGGTGACATGATTAATCCAATTTCTCTGATGAGGAGCCAAATAACACAGAGATTAAAGAAAAAACATCCATTGATTTTGGGTGCCTGATTCCAGATGGCTAGGGCCTGATTTTTCAGAGTACTTAGCATAATATATTCAACCAGAACTCCCATTTTGCTCAGATGCAATTATGAGCTCTCAGCACTTCTGCAAATCAGACCAAAGGGCTCAAGTAAGGCACAGAAAAAATAAGGAACACACAATTCATGACCACCTCTAAAAAGTGTGGTTTAAGTGACTAGCTCAGCATCACATAGGAACTCTATGAGAGAGGCCAGGATAGAATCCAGTTCTCTAGGGTAGCATTCAACTGTCGTAACCACGAGCCCTTCCCTTCTCTTCCTGTAATCCCTGCCTTATTGACTACACACCTTCACCTGATGCGGTTCACTAACTATACTGACCCCTGTTTGCCGGAGACCATGGCACACATCTACCTGGGGCATGTCAGGTTGCAGCCCTCTTCTGACTCCTCCAGAACGTCTTACTGAGATTTTGGCTGCACTTTTCTCCACACCTCCCGTTCCTTGCACACCTCATCCGTGGCCCTGCAAAGTCATGGGACCTCCTCACCAACCTCCTCCTGGCGCTGGCCAAGATGGCCATGCATCATACCAGGAGGAGGAAGCTGGATGGGGGTATTCTGCAACTGCCAGGCCTATTTCCCGTCCTTTGTCTGCTCATGTCGCTGGGAAGAATTCCTCTGGGTGGTGTCCACTGACTTTCTAGACTCCTTTGAATAGCAGTGGGGGTTGTCGGGGCTCCTTTGTTTGGTACCTCCTCCGGATCCCTGATTTTCAGCCTTAGACCTCACTCAAAATTCTGTTTTCTCCTTTTTTGTCCCCCATAATCAATTGCAGCCTGGGCTTAGTGGTTCCCCTTGGCCCCTTAGTTGAGGGGCAGGCACTTTAAGTTATGGGCTGGTCTAGATTCGCCTGTACCAGTACTTCAGATAGTATACACTGTTAAGCTGCCTAGAGTAGCTCAGAAGCATGAGTGCCAACCTCAGGGCAGACTGTCAAGGAAAAAGGCAAGAACCACAAACTAGTTGTACGTTCTATAATTACATTTCACCAACTAAGTAACCAGTGTGAACTCCTAAAGCACTATAGCAAGCCTCCGAAAGCAAGCCTGCCTTTGTGTTAGATGGTGTCTTACACCAAAAATCACCACAATATTCAGGTTACTCCCAGTCCCAAAGAACTTGTACTTCACACCTGGTAATGCTTCCATCCTGAGTGTGCCAGTTTATAGTTTTAGAGCAGACACTTTTATAGTTACAAAGCAAACACTTAAATATTATCTTATAGCATAGGATAAAGATATTATAAGTGAGATTAAAGAATGCAGCAACTTACAAGCATTTCATAAAGTCCAAATACTAAACACACCTCTATAAATCTAACACCTATTTAACTATACTAACACAGGTGAGCCAGCTTGGTGTCCAGCTATGCATTTGTCAGTGTTCAGTGAGACCCAGGGGGCCTTGGCAATCTTTCAACTTCTTCAAGAAATGATGAAGAGGTTCTATGACAACAGACTCCTTCACCACGGATTTATTCCATGAACCACCATCCATCCTGGAGCTGAATGAGGCACCTGTTCTGTGCAGAAACTAGTATGTGATCATTACATTAAAAGCCTCAGATATTGTGGGTCCATAAGTCTGACTACCCTTAAACTTGCTATTGTAGGTTAGTCTTTACATCTGCTAATTCTTTTGCCAGTGTATCTTATGTTTTCCTGAATGACTGCCTCTACACGTAGGGCTTTTGCGCACATAGTTGTAGGTTATAGGTGTGATATAGCTATTCTGGCTAAACTTTTACATATAGACCAGTCCTAATACTTGTATATTGCCAGCTACCATCAAAACCCCACATCTGCACTGGCATTCACATAGGGTCATGCACCCTCGTTGTCCTTTCTGCTGCACTATTGCTCGGAGCAGTTCCACCAGTCTGGTGACACACTTCACCGTGCACAATGCTCAGGCAGGTCTAACCAAAGATAATGGCCCCAAAGAAATCCTTAGCAGGATAATTAGGTGTAATCATATGGCAAATATATGATAT